GATTAAGCCTTCTGGCTTGATCCAGTTCAGAATTACCCATTAGACATTTAGTACAAGTCCTTAGACAGAAAAATGTGGACACATACATAAGCCTCAGGTGGGGTTCAAATCCATATCTCAAATGTTCTAGCAGTGAGACAGCAATCAGTGATCAATGATGCTGTCATTCATTCTTGCAATTACTTAAACATACATAACTGAAGACAGTGTGGCATCCTGATGATGGGGAAAGTATGCATCTCTGAAATATTGATTAACTTCTATCAGACTGCATGGTGTAACATCCTAGAAGACTGCCATCTTTGTACTCACCACTGTGTGAACCTGAAATCTCACAAAGTCTAACCAGCAGCCTTGTAATATCATATTCCCATACCATAAAAGAAAAATAACAAAAAAATAGAATATTTTTAAACCAAAGTAAATGAGATGGAATCAAAATGCTTGCAATTAAAAGAGGTGTTAGTTTCTAAATTTATAAATTGAAAACTTCATAAAACAAAGTGGTAGTGCACAATTATTTCATGATGGGAAATTGTCCATAAACAAGACACTGCACTGTATTGAACAGACAATAATTTGTGATTTTATTTTAAAAGAACAAACATAAAAGCATTCACCCTCATACTGCATTTTCCTCTTACAATTTCTTTCCTATTAATATGCTGAACACATTCAGTAAATATTATAAATTAAATTAGAGTACATTTACATTATATACGTACATAGATGGCTCAGCATATAATACACACATTTACTACAGAATGATATCATTTCTTTTAAGTCATAAATAAAATATACACTATAAAAAGAACACAAATGTGGATCAGAACTATGTTTTGTAAATCTGTGCAAATACGTATATCACAAATAAATACACCAAACATACAAATTCAACCACACACCGCACCGTTTAAAGTAAAACTGCCCTATTTGTGATATAGAGCCCTTCTCTGTAATTTTCTTTCCTTAATTCAGTTCAGACTTTGTCTTTTCCAAAGGAGTTCTTGTCTGAACCACCAGCATATCGTCACGAAGAAGTGGTAACATATTTCCATACAAGAAGCAGTCATGGTAATAAATATCTATAGTGACCTAGAAGATTCTTACAAGTTAATTACATACATACAAATATCATGGGTAAACCCACGTAATTTTCACATTCATAATACATCGTTCATATATATATGAAATGGATTAATATTTAATATTTTACTGCATTCATTCAAAAATGTTGATCTTTTTTCTGATATTGATAACCAGTTACTTTTTAAATAGGTTCGGTTAATGCCAACAACGTATGCTTATTTCTCAAATATGTCGTGACATGTGCAATCGGCCGGATTATTGAATAGGGTATTACAACGTGCATCATTTAGTATACACATGACACCAATGAGTATGACCATTACCACCAGACTTATTTATACGCAATGTCAGTTTGGCTCGAATTCTTTCGTGCTATATACGTAGTCATCCCTCATCGAATGATGATCGTGACCGACATAAACTGCCATCATGTGATTACTTCTCATCGAATACTTCGGTACTTGATTTAGTTCTGTTCAAAACAGAATTACTTTCATGCCTTTGCACGTACACTCTTGTAGTTTGAATATAAAGTACAAAAAAACTAATTTTTATTTGGAGAGGATTTCGGGGTAACAACGGTAATTTACACATTTCCATTCAATAACTTCAAATTAATATGCCATAACCACTAGTACATCTCTAATTAGGCCTTCATAATGAGTCATAGGATCTATTTCTTTACCAATCAATCGTGAGACACAAATAGCTTAATTTCTGCCAGTCTTGGTTATGATAATGCACTTGTGCAATGGGACAAGATTACCAAAATCAGAATTCGTTACAATACAGCATGAGAGGAACGAAATGAAATTGGCATCTCAATTCATTATTGGTAGGCTTGTTCGTATCGGTACAACTTTTAATTTATTACATTACAGACTTAAATAAATCGTCCACTGTCGCAACATCATAGACGATTCCGTTACACTGAGATGCATTTTAAGTACATACGAAATAGAGTTACGGTACTTACATATAGCACGGAGTTTATTTTTTGCCCATTTTGAGAAGAATGTTGAAATGGAAAGAGAAGAAAGGAGGAAGTCGTGCATTCACTTTCCTTCATTATCAGTCATGAGATTTTCCAACTTTGCCTGGTAGTCCGCTTCTGAAAGCTCTCCGTCTTC